CCCCAAAACCCCAAAACCCCAAAACCCCAAAACCCCGTTAGGACTTCATTTCAATAAGCTTTATGATTAAATATTTATTTAAATTATATTTTAAAAAATAAGAAATAGCTAGCATCTTCTACTATTGATGAAGCAAAACTTGTTCTTTTCTATTCTTAAAAGATTCAAAGAGATGGACCGCTTTGGATATAGAATAAGATTGTTATATAAAGGCTAAGAAACAAAGAAAACCGTTTTAGGTGCATTTTTAACATTACTTATTGTTACTTTAGCGTCACTTTACACAGCATTTCAGCTTAAAGACATCCTAGATAATAAAAGCACCATTAAATCTACAATCAGATATGATAATGCATCTAATAAAAGTGTAACTATAAATTAAAATATGTTTGACTTGGCATTTGGAATAGAGACACCATGGTCTGTTTAAAACAAATCAGTGAATATCTACTAATACTTTAGTCTAAAACCAACAATTAATAGAAATGATGTATTAGAATGATTAGAAATGTAAAAATGCAATAAAAATAGGTTATTTAACTCGAGCCTATATCATATTGAATATGATCTAACAACTTCATTTGGAGCTGAATTATTCTGCTTAAAGGAAAATACTATCCTAGAATAAATAGGAGAAGCTCAATTTTTGGCTCTCTATTTAAGTCCTTGTGATTAGGAATTTCTTGATTTGATGTACCCTGGCTCAGTTTGCTAAAAAGATCCTAATTAAGTTTCATATGTTTTAACTAATTCATATTTAAGGATCATAAGTACAATCAGGTACTTTGACGTCGAGGATTTTTCGGAAAGTCCCGTAAAAACATCGGTATTGTCAAATTCTTACTACATTAATAAATCTACTTTAAGATTAGCAACCTTTGCAATGAAAAGAGATATTTCAATAGGATCAAACTCAATTTTTCACGAATCCTTAGATTAATTTAAATATGATACTATCTAGATGGATTTACAGGAGCTCTCAAACATTGATAGAATAGATGAGGAGGACTATATAATTGCAAGAATGATAATGAGAAATAATATAAATATTCTTGAAAGAAAAGTAAATAATTTCTTACAGTTATTATCCTCAATTGGTGGTCTACTTGGTTTGCTATTTACCTCTATAAGGTTATTGATATAACCTTTTCAAGAGTTTCAATTTAATAAAAGTATAATTAAAAAAAGGTACCTAATTGAAATGAATTAGGGAAACAATTTGAAAAAGCAATCAAATGATGAGGTATAATTTGATCTCAATGAAGGTTAAGTTAATTCATATCTTGAAATGATAAAAAAACTTAAGTCTAGAATTCCATTTATTTATACAACAAAAGATGTATTAGTTGATAATTTTGAAGAAATTTTTTGTAAGAAATGAAAATAAAATAATTAGAAAAAAAAGCTTTTTAAATATGGTAAGGAATAAATTAACAATATCTTAGATATTACTTACATGATTAAGCACTTTCGAGATTTTAAAATGTTTAAGAATATGATTCTTTAGAGATACTAAAAAAAGCTATTGCCATATTTTTATGATAATCTTATAACTTCATCTTATACTAAAAAACAAGGAAAGATATAACAAACTTTTAATAAGATTCAAGAAATTAACTTAGCGTAGGGAATAGCTCCAATTATGATAGAACTTTTTGCGAACGAAAAAGCGATTGCAAATCCTTATAACCAAGTTATTTTAAACAGTCTATTCAATCCATAACTAAATCATTAGAAATTAGAAACATTATAGTCAAAGATGTTCGTTGGAATTCTTAGAAAATTTGTAATTTAGAATATATATGATATTAAAACTCATACTTAAAGTCAAGTAAAGAATATATAAGATAAAAAGAATACTTATTCTTAAAGACCCTTAAATAGAGTGAAGTTAGGAGGTGAACAACATGAATTAAATAATTTGACTAAATAAAACAATGGAATTCCTAAAATTGGATCTTTTAAATTAGAGGATTTTCATTTAAAAAATAGATATTAGACCATTAAACGCTTCGATGATACCTCTCATGATACAAATTAAATATTACAACCATAAATCAATTCACTCCAATAAGTCGTCAATTAAAGCATGATTAAAAATCAAGCAAGCTTCAGAAAGATTAGAAAGAATTATTACAATAACGAAATCGACCCTGAAATCGACTTTTAATAGAGGAAAAGTCACCTTAAATTTAATTCTAATTATAAAAAAAGTGAACGCTAATGATAATTACTTTAATTTGATAAAAATATTATTATTATAGCTTGAGTTCTGTATATCTAGCAAATGGGGTTTTGGGGTTTTGGGGTTTTG